TGCCACTAAGGCTTCCAAACCCCTTTTTCACTGTTGTTATTAAATGTCGTAGAGTCAATTCCAATTTATAGCAACCCTGATTTCCGAGGAGCAGCTGGTGAATTTGAACTGCCAGTCTTGCAGTTCAAACCGACCTTTTGATTCAGTGCTTATCTTACAGTGGTACACCAGGACTCCATTTGTCCGTTCCGACCCAAAGCAACCCTGTATAGGGTTTCTGAGGAGCAGCTGGTGAGTTTGAATTGCTGACTTAGCAGTTAAGCACATTAACCCACAGCGCCACACCAGGACTTCATTTAGATAATTTAGCTTCCACCACCCGTCTGTCGTAGGAGCTCTGGTAGCGTAGTGGTTACGAGTTGGGCTGAGAACCGCAAGGTCAGCAGTTCAAAACTACCAACTGCTCCATGGGAGAAAGATGAGGCTTTCTACTCCTGTAAAGATTTATAGCCTTGGAAACCCTGATTCAGGGTCCCTATGGGTCGGAACCGACTCAACGGCACTTAACAACAACAACCCATCTGTCATACTGTGGTAGCCTGTGTGCTGCTGCAATGCTGGCAGTTGTACCACCGATAGGTCACCATGATGGAGAGATAGCAGGAGAACTTCCGGATGAAGATAGGGCTAATGATGCACTAATGAAAGGTAGCCAAAGAAAACCTTATGGACAACAGAATCTTGTCCAGTGCCGTGCTGCAAGCATGAAGATGGCCAGGACTGGCAGTGTGTTGTTCTATTATGCATGGGGCCACCATGAGTGAGGACCAACTTGACTGTAACTAACAACAGGCTGAGTCAGAAAGCAGATTGTGTGTCTTTAATATAAATCAGCATATATTATCCAACAGACGGTAGTTCAACTGTAGTTCAACTATCTCATTTTCTCCACTCTTGTTCCAACTAGTCTCTAATCACCTCACTTGAATTTTCAAGCGATTCAAAACACTAAAGACTGAAGTAAGTCAATTACTTAACAAAATAATAATAACTTTACTAAGAACATCTCCTTGTGAAGAATGGGAATTTCAGAACACTTAAATGTTGTCATGAGGAACTTGTACATAGACCAAGGAGCAGCTGCTTGAACAGAGAAAAGGAACATTGAATGGTTTACAATCAGGAAAGGTGTATGCCAGAGTTGTAGCCTTTAACCATACTTATTCAACATGTTGTGGTGCTGTGGGCTAATGCATCAGACTGCCATGTAGTTTGAACTGCAAGGTCGGTGGTTCAAGCTCACCAGCTGCTCCTTGGAAACCCTATACAGGGTTGCTATAGTCAGAATTGACTCAATGGCACTTAACAACAACAACAACATTCAATCTGTATGCTGAGCAAATAATCTGAGAAACTGAATTAGATGATGCAAAACGTAACATAGGATTGGAGGAAGACTCATTAACATACACAGATGACACAACTTTGCTTGCTAGGAACAAAGAGGACTTGAAATACTTGTTAAGTGCTATGGAGTCGGTTTCAACCCATAGCGACCCTGTGTAATAGGGTTTCCAAGGAGCAGCTGATGAGCTTGGACCACCGAACTTACAGTTCAAAGCAACTTTGTAGTCCAGCACATTAACCCACAGCACCACACCAAATACTTACTGATGATCAAAGACCTCAGCCTTCAGTACGGGTTCCACCTCAGTGTAAAGAAAACAAAAATCTTTACCATTGGACCAATAAATAACATCATGATAAACTGAGAAAAGATTGAAGTTGGCATATGTTTGCTTGGATCCACAATCAACACTCTTGGAAACAGTAATCAAGAAATCAAATGATGTATCGTCTTGGGAAAATCTGCTGCACGAGACCTCTTTAAAAATGTTGAAGAACAAACAGGTCATGTTGAGTACTAAGATGTGTCTGACTCAAATCATGGTATTTTTAATAGCCTCATATGCTCTTTAGGAATGAGGATGGCCAGACTTTGTTTCTCTTCATTTGGACCTGTTGTCAGGGACGATCATGCTTGGTAAAGTAAAGGGTCATCAAAAAAGAGGAGGTCTCCAAGAGATGACCAGACACAGTGGCAATAACATCAGGCTCAAAGATAACAATTGTGAGCATGGCCCAGGACCAGGCAGTGTTTTGTTCTGTTGTATACAGTGTTTTGTTCTGTTGTATGCTATGAATCAGAACCACTGAGGGCACTGAACAGTAACAACAACAAAGTCCATCTCTTGCGCTTGTTCTCATAGATGATAAAATATGAAAGTACCTTACATGATCAGACTCCTACTTTATATAAACTGCTGACCCAGCATGGCATTTCCCATCATTGCTTTCTAAAACAACACAGGATATTTCAGGACTGAATGGCCAAAAGGAATTAGGATGACCCAGCCTCTAAAAGACCTGAGTTATTTAAAGAAGAAAAACACAATCATGTCTGAATGGATAATTCATGATTCAGACAGCCCCGAATTTAATTGGTATTAACTACTCTACTAAAGATCTATTTAATGCACTTAGGTAAGATTTTTCATTCTCATGAAATTGGATCTTTGGTTCAAAATTTAATCTCCTGCCAAGGACTCTGCACTATTTAGGTGACGTAACGGTGAGGTAGGCTCTTAACATTTCATTGCCAGGAATACAAATGAAATTGATCAAATTATTTGCCAAATAATGTTTCATCAGCAAGGCTGAGTCCTTGCCTAAGTGGCTTGTCAAAGAGAGCAAAAAGCAGATACTCTGAGTATCATGGCTGTATTTTCCAGCTTAATCTTCCAGAACTCAAAATCGGCCATGAAAAATCAGTGTACATTATGTAGTTTATTAGTTTATAAGACCTTTACATGGAAGGAAGAAGCAAGGCCTAAAAGATGAGATCTTCTGGCAAGTCAAAATACAAATGGAAAATACAAGCCATACTTTGGAAACTATATACTATTCCTATAAGAAAACTGTCACTGTCCTTTTCATGACATTAGTAATTACGGGAAAACTTAGTCATAATCTTACATAATATAAAATCCCTAGTAAACAACCTTCTTTCTTTCTCTCTTATTTTAGGTTTTCAACGTTGTTCTTAAGTAGGCATGTACTCTGTCCTACCTGAAGCTACTCTGACCTTACTACTCTGAATGGTCTCCTGATACAGAAGAGCAGAAATATTATTTGGTCAGTTTTCAGTCTGCTGGTGGTCAATGATTTATTCAAATAAAATAAATCAATATAAATAATTCAACAGTAGTCAAATATAAAATAATTCTATGACCAAGACTTTCTAAAACAGCCTACATTTATAAACTGACAGTGATAGGAAGATGTGTGCAAAACATTTTATCAAGTCTTTCCTGCCAGAGATTCAGGAAATGAACATGAGAATACTAACATAGGAGAGTGAGCTTATTCAGCAAGTATTTACTGAGCTGTTACTATGTGCCAAACACTATTTTAGATGCTGGGAATACATTTCATCAATTAAAAGTACGCAAAACTGTCTGTCCTTATTGTGTTTGCACTATGGGGAAGGATATAAGACAAGAGGCATAATAAATAAGTAAATTACATAGTAAGTTAGAAGGTGATAAAGTACTAAGGGAAAAAGAATGGTACAGTTGAAAAAATGAATGAGGACACGTCTTATCTGGAAATTTTCCAAAACCAAATAAGGAAAAAAATAAACGTCATCACTGGACAGTCTATATAACCCTAAACAACAAAGATAATATTTTTGGCTCTTTAATGTTCGTGGGATTTTCAAGCAAGAAATGAAAAGGGATCTTGAACACCCAGTAGTGAAATTGAAAACCAGGATGTGAAACTTTCTTAAAACAGGAGTTATTAGAAGCAGTAAAATCTGTGTTTGCTGCGGCAGAACCACTGTGAGACAGGAATTGTAGAACCTTCCACAATTCTGACCACGATGCCAACCACAGTTGCTCCACAGAGTCATCTGCGTCAGTCTGCTACAGACAGTGTGGAAGAACTCAAACAGTGTTTTAGGATTTTCTTTATTTCCACTTCCTTTTCTAAATGTAGCACCCTGTTCTTTCTTATTTCTTTAAAGTAGGGCAAGCTCATTGTAAAGGAAAATTGAAAAAAGGGAACACCCACAAATCCAGCTCCATCTCTCCTCTAAGATTGTTCGAGATGCAAATATGTTTATTGTGTAACATCATTTTTTTTTTAACACCATTATCAGAAGTTGGCACGAAAACCACCCAGTAGATTTTTTTTTTCCTTTGATTTAAATTTGGATTTTATCCCCTTCCCCCAAATCAACCAACAATTAATGTCTAGTTTTAGCCTTTGGAGAATTAAAACTCTCCACGTAAGAAAATGAAAATAGACAATAAATGATATTCTCATATCTAACCAGAAAACCCAATTTTCAGCAAAATGGTCAGAGGTAGAAAGTCCAGATTGCAGGACTAGGAAAAAGGAGTGTCCACCCCAAAAGACACTTATAAGTTGATGACTGTGACAGTAGCCCTTGCTAGAGGTAATAATGTCATTAGGCTGTAATTATTCTCCAGAAACCTCAACAGCCTTGGATTAAGAATATCTGGAAATTGTTCAGATGACCCAGATTTCTGTTGCTTGCTGTTAAGGCTTCAATGATGCCTCCCTATGGCACCTGTCGCCATTTTTTTACTTTGCAAATCTCTTTTCAAATCAGGAAGTGTACATAAAGTGCAAGTAAGCCTCATCCCCTTCCCTGTGCTTCCGCACGCCCATTCTAAAAGCCAGTAATACCCAAATCTATCAGTTAAACCACTGGCAAGCTAGGTTGTCTGCAGGTATTTCTGAAGTCAGCAAAAAAAAAAAAAAAAAAAGTTCATCTGGCAAAGAGTGTCTGAAGGTCAGTGAAGTCTTGGCAAGAAGACACAAAGTACCACAGGAAAGACAGGGATGTGAACTACACAAGGCTGTCCAGCAGGGGGAGAGGACCTCGTCACCAAGTCACTGAAGACGTCATCTTTGCATCTCAACTCTTAAAAAGATCTCGGGAACCGTTGCTATCATGAAGGACGCACTGGTCAGTCTTCAGTGAGGGTAGATTCAGTTTTCCCTGGGCACAGAAATGAGAAGGAAGAGTGTAGGGCATCAGATTCAATGGGGTTTATATCACACACACACATATACAGAAACCGTTGCCATTGAGTTGATGCCAACACATGGTGACTTCACGTGTGTCGAAGCTGGACTGTGCTCCATAGGGTTGTCAATGGCTGATTTTTTGGATGTAGATCACCAGGACTTTCTTCTATGGCCTTTCTCTGTGTAGACTTGACCTGCTTACCTTTTAGTTACTAGTCAAGTTCTTAGGCATTTGCAACACCCAGGGATTTGCGGTCACAAACAAGAGCCTCCAGTAAATACTTCATATCTTATAGGATAAAGTTGAGCAGAATGCCTCCTTATAGGGCTTTTCGCTTTACTGTTTGATTGGGATCCACTCCAATGGGTCCAAAGTTATGCAATGCTACATGGTTCTGACTGCAGGGTTTCATAGAGCCTTTACTTGACATGACAACAAGCACTTTAACTCTTCAAGAGAGGGATACAGTATGCTATATTTCCCACTTTCTTTGGACCAGAAATTTACCTTCTCACAAACAAACTTGCCAAGACTAATATTTCAATGGAACATATTTTGAGAACTGTTGCCTTATAATATTGGCTGGAGGGAGAGAAATGATATTAAATCATATTCAGTTTATATTACACAAGGCCTGTTTTTTATATTGTGAGTTACAATCCTACACCAATATAATAAAAAATAAACAACCCATATAATAAGAAAAACCATTATAGCTGGGCTCCAGTATGTTTCCTTTCCAATGTGCCAAAAATCATGGGCAAAATGTAATGTTATGTTTCACTGGTTGACATTAATGATAAAAAGTTAACGATTTCCCTTCCATTATAAACCATTACATGCTCAATGGAGTCTAGAAACTGTCCTTTTATTTTTTCTGATTTTTCGAGTAGAACTAAGGCCAGGGTTTCAGGATTAAACTCATCCAGAATGTCGTTATACATGAAGCTAAACCATAGCTGGGATTGACAGGGTATATTAGGATATAAATAAAAATCGTGCATAAAAGTCATGAATTGATTTGATCAAAAGCCCCAGGAAAGTATAGAACACATACTTGTTAAATTCTTGAATTTCTTTTTGGCTTCTGCTCTTTCTTCTGCGTCAAAGTACCAAACAGTCATAGCATATCTGTAAAGGTATAAGAAAAGAGGTTTAGAAACACTAAAAAGAAGAAGAAGAAAAAAAAGTAAGCACTGACTATAACTTCGTTTATGAAGCTAACATTTAAAGGCTTTCCTATTATTAGAGTCCTGGTGTGGTGCTGTGGGTTAATGCGCTGGACTGCAAAGTCATTTGAACTGCAAGGCTGGTGGTTCAAGCTCACCAGCTGCTCCTTGGAAACCCTATACAGGGCCACTGGGAGTCGGGACAGACTCCATGGCATTTAACAACAACAGCAATTATTGGAAGTCCAGAGTCGGGCTGCCAACCTCAAGGTCAGCAGTTTGAAACTACCAGCAGTTCCATGGGAGAAAGATGAGGCGTTCTGCTCTTGTAAAGATTTACAGCCTCGGAAACCCTGTGCAGGCTCCCTATGAGTCGGAATCGACTCCACAGTACTTAACGACAACTCCAATTTTAACATAAACATCTCTAGTTTCAATTCTATATGCATGCAATAAAACATTTGAAGTATTCCAGGTATGTACCAGGCTGGGTATTGAGAATTCAGAGATTTACACGATTGAACAGATCTTCTTCCTCCTCCAAGACAATAGGGGAGAAAGGTAATGTAGCAAATAATGCAACAAGCAAATCTGACATAAACCCATCCAACGAAACCCAAACCACGACTGCAGAATCAATTCCAACTCATAGCCACTGACACAAAAAGGACTAACCCACAGCCAATGACTCATTAGCAACCCTATAAGGATGGAGTAGAACTCCTTCACAGGGTTTGCAAGGCTGGAAATCTTCACAGACGCACATGGGCACATCTTGCTCTCACAGAGCAGCTGGTAGCATCAAACCGCCAACTTTTCAGTTCGTGGGTAAGCAATTTAACCCCTGTGCCACCAGTCCTCCCATAGAAAGGAGTTGTTTTTGTTATGTGCAGTCATGTCAGTTCAGACTCACAGAGACCCTGTATAAGGTTTCTGAGGCTTTTTGAAATCTTTGTGGGAGCAGAAAGAAGTGAGATAATCTGCTAAAGACTAGGAGACCCGAGGTGGGGGAGAGAGCACAGAGAGGAGGAGGAGAGAAAATCTGAAGAACAGCTTATTTAAAAGACTTTATTGAACTCACAAAATGTTAAAATGTCATGACTTTCTTTAGATTTGGGCATTGGGACAAGGAAACAATTGAATATTGATATCCTTAAGCATTTTTCTGCATGCCCATTAATTCACTTTAGCCCAGCTTTGTCATCAGCTGTAATAGGAACCCTTCCACAATGGAGTTTTCAAAAAGTTTTGTTTTATAATTATTATTGTTATTATTAAGTGCCGTCGATTGGGTTCTGATGCACAGCAATCCTATATATAGGATATCCGAGAAACGGCTGGTGAGCTTGAACTGCCGACCTTGGGATTCAAACAGACCTTTCAGTCCAGAATGTATCCTGCTGCGCCAGCAATCCCTAGAGAAGGATATCATGCTTAGTAAAGAAAAAGACAGAGACCCCCATCGAGATGGATTGGCACAGTGGCAGCAACAAGGGGCTCAAGCGTAGGAGCAATTGTGAGGATGGTGCAGAACCGGGTGGTGTTTCATTCAGTTATACACAGGGTTGCTATGAGCTGGGACCAACTCCACAGCACTTAACAACAACAATTAGCACTTCTAAAGTACCTAATTTTTTCAGAGGCTTTTCACCCACATTTGCTGGGTGTTTTTTCCTGAGGTGTCAGTACTGTGGAAATAGGGAATAGCCAGGGAATTCTGCCACAAATGACCGAATCCAATTTATTGTGACTCATAAAACAAGCCACAAGTAGACTCTGGTAGTATAGGTTTAGTTACCTGCTCGCTTAGAGCACACTGTAGTTGGACATTTAACATGCAACTTTGTGTTTGGGGCACAGATCTATGACTTATGGAGAGGCACATTTATGTCTGTGACTGTAATTACGTTGTTCCTCTGAAAATCTTCACACACACATGCTACAGAAAGCATTTTTTGAAAAAATCTAATTATTGGGTCATGGAATCAATAATTCCAAACTGACTTTAAGCTATGGGAAGGGCAAAAGGGAAAGAAAAACAAACTACTCTTTCTTTTCTTAAGATCTCTCTCTGTCTCTCTATTTGTAACCAGCAACGTGTATACTCATCCAGACTAACCAGACAGAATTCCTGGTGCGTGCTGTATGCGATAGCCAACTTTCTATAGGGGTAATTCAACATGAGATTAAAAAAACAAAAAATCAAAAGAGATGACAGAAAAAGTGCTCAGGGAAATACAGAATCCAATCAACTCTGCTAACAGAAATCAATTTATTAAATTTGTTGTTGTTGTTGTTATGTGCCATGGAGTCAGTTCCGACTCATAG